TATCGCCGGCTTTGGGTGTCATCCCCCAGAAGAATGTATCGCCAAAATAGCACCGCTCTATTGAGTGACTCTTATAGTGCTTCAAAGTGGTCGAGACAATAGCCATCGGATTGTCTTTATGTGCATAATATAGGGACAGCTTTCCAAAGCCTCTGTCCCTTAGTTTCTGGACTTTGCCCTTAAGACTGGAATGGGTGCCGATGTGCTGGAATAGGGAGGGCTTGTGGTGCAGCCAAACCAAGTCCTTCTGTTTCTTACAGTCTTTGAGATCTCTGTCGAATCGACACAATTTGGTTTGTATTAAGTGCTCCAACAGCCAGTCCACGGGTTTGTCGTTATGAAAGATGACGAAAAATATTATAAACATCGATAGGTCTACAGATTTAAACATTTTGCCTATTTATCAAAACAATACAAATGCACAAATATATTAGATTTCCAAATATATATAACAAATACTTAAGAAAAGTTAATTAAAAAACTCATTTAAAAAAGTAATCACAAAAAACTTCACTTATATAGAGAACTGCTTACTGTTATTGTTTACACAAAAAATTAATTAAAAATTAATTAACTTTTATCTTAAGATAAGAGCTTAACATGTAATAAATATTTAATTAACAAAAAGTCTAATGGATTTGAAGCTATAAATAGAAATAAAAGTAAAATATAATTAAAAATTATGAACCAATAAATCCAAGCGAACAGAAGTCCAGAATAAGCCATTCCTTCTTCTGAAGCGATGCCTTTACGGCAAAGTTTTTCATTTTTGTTAAATACGCCGGTTTTGTGAGTATGTCGTCCTCTAATTGCACATAATATGTACCCTTTGGCTGGCAATACATCATTAGATACCCTACAGAACGCAAACAATAGCATAAGAATCACATTCAAAGCCAAATGTGCGGCAAAAAACAGACCAAAATCGAGGTTTTGTTTGGACCTCCAGCGGACTCTATCGATGGGATCGCCTAATGTCTGCCTTATGGACGACATATTTGGGTAATAGGAAGCGGGAGGGGATATAACCTCCAGTAAACCCGAGTCTA